TGGTGAGGGGCCCATACACCGGCTCGCACGCCGGGCGGGGACAGCCTGGAGCCGGGCGCGCCGAGGAGACGCCGGAGCGCAGCGGGGACGCGCGGGCGCCGAGCGAGGAGGCGCGGGGTGGCGCGGCCGAGAGGGCGGCAGGACTTGCGAAGGGGAAAAGGAGGACGACGAAGGGGCGGGGAAGCCCGCCGAGACCGAAGAGCCGCCGGGAGCCGGGCCGGGACGCGCCGCCGCGGTTGCCGTTGCTACCAAAACAGTCTGAAGCGGAGGGAGGCGAGCGCTGCGCGTAGGTAGGGGGGCCGGGGCCGCGCGGGGGAGGGGCGGCGGAGGGATACGCGTTCGGGTTTGCGCCGCCGCCCCGCCCGCCGTGCCGCGCCGCCCGCGGGAGCGCGCGCCACCTGGGCCGCCTGGCTGCGGCGAGGCGGCGAGGCTCGGTAGCCGCCGCGAGGCCCAGAGGAGATGCGGCCGTGGAGCGCATTGTGGGCCGGGCTCGCTGAGACGCCAGGTGTTGGGACCGGGTGGGCAGGAAGGTGTGGGCTAGGGACTCTTTACCGGAAGTCGGAAGGGTCGAGCGGAAGCAGAACTTGAGAAGGCCCCAGGCCGGGCGGGACACGTGAGGAGCTGGCGCTGCGCTACACTCGCGGGGGTCGGGTGAGGGCTCGGCGCCCGGCCCTGCCCCAGTCGAGGCGGGTCTGCCCTTTGGAGAGGGCGTGTCAGTCTTCGCCTGCGGGGCCGACCTAACCTAGAGGACGTGAGGGGAGCCTTTCTTCCTGCACGAGGTGCCTTCTGCGTCCGCAGACTTCTAGGAGAGGACCTTGTCTGCCCCCACCTGATGCAACCTAGAAAATGAACTTCCAGTGTCTTCGGGCAGAGACGATGTCTTGCTACGCATAAAGCGCCTAGAATGTTACCAGACTCAAGGAATTTGGCATCCTGTAGTTTTCTTTGTACCCCCCAACGCCGGGCACACAGTAGGCCCACCTGTGTCACCGAGTGTCTTGAAGCATGCGTACTTTCTTTCGCTGCCAAAATTGGAATCAAGTCACCTCCTGCTGACACCCCCATCTGATTAACTTTTCCCCACTTTTTCCACCCCAGCAACACAATAACCAGAAAACTCTTGGATATCTGACCTTGATTTGAACCTGTTTTCCCTCACTTGAACTTTTTTCCTTATTTATGAGACTCAAAAGGAAATGTACATGATTGATAGAACTATGGATAATGGGGTCTTGCTATGGATAATGGGGTTTCCTTTTGTGGAAATAAAACAGATATCACAAGAATGTGAACTTCAAACCTTGACCCCTTTAGAAGTTTTATTTTAACTAAGGCAGCCAGCACAGTAGTCCTTTTTTTTTTTTTTTTTTTTAATATGTTGCAATTAAACTGGAAGCAAGTCAATCAATACCTTTTTTGTTGTTTTGTTAGCAGTGCATCTGGTTGGGGTTTTTTGTTTGATCTGGTTTGGTTTGGGCACCATGGATTGAACCCAGAGGGGCTTATCCACCGAGCCACATCCCCAGCCCCCCCCC